TCCTCTCGTGTCCAGGCTTCATTCCTCAACTCGGTATTCTTGGTGACGTCCCTTTCCATTTCCGCCAGGTTCTCTTGATCTTTGGCATGAGCTCGACGAAGAGTGTTGAGCTCCTTGGTAATGTTCTCCATGTTGGCGGAATTGCTTGAAGATCCTTCATCTCCTAGGATCCTGGAACTTCCTTCACCAAGCTCACGGTTACGCGGTGCCAACTGGTGACAAGGGACTCCGTGAGGTCCAGTGGACTTGCGTGCAATTATCTTGGTCTTTGCCATAGCCTGTAGAATTTAGGATGGGATTATAAGGATAGCTTGAGGATAATGGAGGTTAGCAAGAATGGGATTGATATTACTTACCCAACCACTTTTAAGGGGAATCATTATGCAAGGTGTTCAAGCATGATGCATGAATCGATCTTACGAATCCGAGTACAAAAGATTTATACAATCAAAAGTACTAGATTTTTAATACATAGGACAAACCTAATCATATTATCCGCCACAAACTTTCAAATAAGATAGGATTGAGGCTAGATTAGAGGAAAGAAGAAAGAAATTTGAACCTTTAAAATATCAAGTTTTACTTTCTTTGATCCAAATCAATTTGAAGGTTTTCCAAAGTAACCTACAATGATCTTTGATAGGACCTGCTCTGATACCAGCTGTGGCAGAACCTCCTAAGGAATCGGGCCCACATGCACCTATCTTCGTCTTAACAGACCTCGAATAGCGTACACGAGTTCCCAACAACTCAACAGGTCTGTCGGGTGTCCTCGGAAAACCCGAATCATCCACGATTCTCTTTTCAAACAGGATCCCAATCATAGTCATTGCAGATTTCAACAGTTTATTCAAATATATACCAGAGTAAATGATAGCGGAAGTCTTAAGATAACATAATTACAAACCCGTTTGTTTTCAAACTTACAATACCATAAGTGTTATACAACCATAGTAGCGGGATAATATTACATTAACTTTATTTATCATACAAACTAGTGCCTTGTCCAAAGGCCATTCATCACTCCTCGTCGTCATTGACTTCAAACACAGACATGCAGCAGGGACCAAAACAAGCCTGCACATGCGTCTCACCTGCAACAAGGGTTAACAAACCCTGAGTACAAAAGTACTCAACAAGACTGACCCGATCAAAAAGGGCGAAGGTCTTAGGGATGGAGGTGTTGGGTCAAGGTAAGGATGTAGAAAGATTCAAAAATTCTTTGCTAAAAGCTTACTATTCTTGATCCTAGTTTCAAGTTTTACCTCTAAGTATTTTAGTCCAATATCTCCAACTAAGTGTTCATATCCCATGTTCCAATCCTGCTCATTCCATTCTTTTTCTCATGTTTTAGTAATTCACCAAATCCTACATTGCTTCAGAATGAATCGAGTCTCCATGTCCATGAACACCACCGGCAATTCAATTGATTCAAGTCCCACCGGGATTCCTTATCACACGACATATGTAGAACTTAATCTTGCATATATCAACCTCGCTACCGGATCCTCCCAGTACTAAGCCGTCTCCACGCCACCCGAGAGCACAAAGACACCCTCAAATCCGGCCACATTCAAGCCACGAGGGTACACGCTACTCCGCCATCTCACCACTCCCCCGGTCGTGGGCATTCGTCTTAGTATCGGATTAGCCAAGTAGGCTTACCGGCAGTATGTGACCAGTACTACAAAGTGTCTCGTTCAGAAGATCCACAATGAGTGGCCTTTAAGCGACATAGTCGACAACATTACCCAACATTCAAGATAAGTCACCCGATTAGTCTCTAGTTCATTCTATCTTCTTTCTTTCTTTGGCCAAGATGCCATCTTTGATTGTATCAAAACTTTTACTTTGAAAGCCTACCACAAAGCATACTAAGCAATTCTACGCCTTTGTAAATGAAATCATCTTCAAGGATGGTAAACAATTAACAAGGTAGGCAATGCGACAAGTAGGTAACATTTGAATTGAACAACTTAATGCGATAAGTAACATAAGTGATAAACTTTTCAAATTAAACAAGGTAATGGTTTAATGCATAAACCGGGCTTGCCTTCGATGACGATTTCGGTTCGGATTAGTACCACAATTATCAAATCCGCGACAACCGGATTCTTCCGAACTTGCTCAACTAGAATCGTTTAGTTCTCTAGGTTCTACACGAAATGATAACATATGCTTTAACATGATGATAATGTAAAATGATGCTTTCACGGTACATGAAATGTAAAAACACCCAAAATGATTTTATTTCACGATGCATTTGCAAGCCAACAAAAACCAACTTGCAATCCTACCATTAAGAACCATACATGTGACTTGACCAAATGGATCTTGGGACCCTACTAGTCACACTACACGACCCAAATCAAGATCAAACCCTAAACCTACACTTAGGGTTTACCTTTATTTATTTTTGAATTAATTTAGAATTAAGCTCAAAATGAACTTGCTCCAAATGATCTCAAAAATTTACACAAAGCATCCTCATGATAAATTAGTGTACCAAAATAAATTTCATAATTTTTGGAGTTATACAGTAGCCTACAAAAATCATGGAAATTGCATTTATTAATTAATTGACTGAATTTTTGAACATTAAAAATTTATCTAAATTTCAAATTTCAAAATTTTAAATCATACTAGAACATGTACAGAAGCTACACAAAAATTTTTAGAATTTTTGGAGCTATGATTATTTTTCTACAAATTTCCAAAGATTCAGTACTATTCACAAATTGAGAAAATAAAAATTTTCACTGTTCTTCTTCCTCACTCGCACTGACAACCTGGGCCATCTGTCAGCGACACAGAGACAGGGCACGACGGCGCTGTTGCCAGCTCCGCCAGCAAAACGCAGCGTCGGCGGTGCTTCTCCGGTGAGACGGATTGTACCACCATGTTTCACACCACGTCGCTGAATCTAACCCAATCCTCGAGGCAGCGAGAAGACTCACGGGACCGAGCTCCACGCCGCCCATGGCGGCTTCGGGCACTGGCGGCGCACGCATTTCAACCACGGCGGCGATCACGCATGAGAGAATAAAGCGAAGTGATAAACACGTTCGAGGAGCTCACTATGATCGATGGTGGACTCGGTGAAGACGGAGATGGTCTGGAGCAACCGGCCACGGGAGGGCGATGAGTGGCGAGTTCACCCGTCTCGGGAAAGACAGGTTGCGCCGCGCGGCGATTCCGCCAACACCAAATGATGAGAGCAAATCGAGGAGGAGCGCAAGACCGAGGCGATCACGCTGACGTAGGCTGAACGACCGACGCGGCTCGGCGATGCCTACGGCGGCGGCGAACTACTGTGATGGCGGAGCAGAGCCAGAGGAAGAATGGGAACGACGGCGGCGATGAGCTATTTATAGCCGGAAGAAGGCGTCCGTCGTCCAACAAGACGGGCGGGTTCGCCACGGTGACATCGGCGTGTCACCGCGCTAGCAAGCGGTGAAAAACCGATCGGCGGCGGCAGCTCGGTGGCGAGCAGGGAGGTGATGACCTGTTCCGGTTGATTTTTGAATAAATTACAGAACTGCCACTGAGACTATTTTTCGAATTACTCACAAATTTTCTAAAGAAGTTGAAAATCTCCAAAAATAAAAGTTGTTCAATTTTTCAAACTCTACAACTTTGCTTATAGAAACATTTTCAAATTCTGCCTCCATTTTGAAATTTGAATTTGGGGTGCATTAGAGCATTTGAATCATTTCAAAATTACTCCAAATTTTATATGTAAACTTGAAAAACTTTGAATACCAAAGTTGATCCTTATAAAATAAGCTCCAACTTTGCTTTTTGTAAAAACTCCAAATTCCAAATGGATTTTGAATTAGTAAAAAGGAGCAAAAATGACTTATGTAATTTGAATATGAATTCAAATTTGATTTGTCTTCCTTTCACTTAGATTTTGATTTTTGACCAGTAACATGGCCCATTAGGATTATTTGAGTCAAAGGACATATGACCTCACATGATCACATGAAATTTAACCCTTGTGGTCATGATCTGTATTTAGAGTTTTTGAAACACATCACATGAAATAACAACTTATGAAACAAATCTTATTTAGTGAATGCATTCCAAATTTTCTTCTTTATGAATGCTTTGCAATGCATATGATGACATGTCAAATTTTAGTATTAGGTCAAAACACCAGATGTGTTACAACGGGGGAGTGAGAGCCAGCGGAATTTCTGGTGGTTCTTCGCATAATCAACCGGTTCGCTGGTTGATTTCTGGGCTGATAAGCTCAAGTGGTACTGGTTTGTTATGAGAGAAAAATACTGTTGGCTGACTGATAAGCCCTAGCTGAAACCAACAAACAAACCGGTTGAATGTCACCATGAAAACAGTAGATCATATCGCATGGGTCATGGGACGTACTTGGGACAGCAGGGGTCGCACGCATTTATTCGGTTTCAGTTCTTGCTAAGTTGATAATGCAATTTAAGACGAGATATATATAAAAATATATATACTAGCTCTTTTCTAGGAGTATAATATAGCTCCAGTGCATGAAAGAAAAACCGAACTTGGCCGGAGCTCCAACAAATTAGCCCTACTAGATTTTAGGTAAAGCGTGGTTGGGTACAAACCTTCAAGGGCATCTATCTGAGTTCGTGCTAGATAGGCATTACCGGTTGTGGTGTGCTATAAGTGTCCGAGAAAATGACATGAGACCAAACACTCAATGACGGGTCAGGAAAGTAGATGCGATCAGCTAGTCTTTTGCGGTATCAATCATTTTATCTTATTAGCATTCTACTAAGGTCGGCACACTCTAGAAAGGAGCGTACGTATATGGTGTCTCTTCAGAGATATGATCAGCTTTCGTTCCCTAAGAGAAGCATCTCAAGTCAAAGAAACAGAGACACCGAAACAAGTTACTACCAAAAGTGGGAAACAAATTCGTACGACGTTCACCACTGAACTTTTTCATGAGCTAGAAACTAAGTTTTCCTAAAGAACGGCCACTGTACGTGTGATACTCTGTTTCACAGTCTCGAGTAACTGGACAGGAAGTGATAGGTAGGGGGTGATATTGTCAGTACAGCGGTGCCGCGTACATCCCAATGGTGAGCGCGGCGCAGAGCAGCCCCACCGCGAACAGCGGGGCGCCGCCGTGCAGCGCCAGCAGCGCCACCGCGACGACCACGGCAAGGAAGCCGACGTTCACGGCCCGGCACCAGCTTGCCCATCTTCGCCTGAGATTTACCACAACAAACATTATTCAGATGAGGATTCGATCCGTTGCCATGGCGTTGCCGTTCGATTCGGTCAATCAGTCAGGGGAGGTTGCCAAGCTAAGGATATGCTACTACTGTACGAGAGCCAGATGCATGTATGTATATGAACTGATCGAACCTTGGTCTCCCTGGGCGCGTAGATGAGGTAGAGCGTGACGTAGACGGCCTCGAGCGCGGCGCCGGCGCCGTTGACGGTGATGACGAGGAGGCCGCTTCCGCCGGGCTTGAGGAGGCCGTAGAAGGTCCAGAGGCTGGTGCTGAGCAGGGTGGTGACGTACGGCAGCCACCTGAAGTCCTCCGTGCTCTTGTTCCTCACGATCCGCCGGAACGTCGCGCTGGATTCCATTCCATTTCCATGGAAATTAAACAAAACAGAGCTCCGTGTCCGTCAGCAATCAGCTCGTGGCACTTTCAAGTTGCATAGAGATACGTAGGTAACAGAAATTGCGTGAACTCGCATCGGAGACGCGAAGACGAGGATGGAGATTACGTTCCCTGGTGTGAGGCAGGCAGAAGATCAAATCATCAAGGGGGAACTGCTTGGTTGGTGTTCAAGACAAGAAAAAAACAAAGGCAAGGAGACATGCATGATAGCCGCCTCCGGCGAGGATGAACACTGACCTACGATCCCGACGAGGAAGCTCGGATTGGCCATTGCGAACGACTCTGTTGTTCCGCGAGGATGGACGGACGCGGGAGAGGTTATGGTGAGGACGCGGACACCGGAGAGGGTATATGTAACACTAGCTATGTGACACTGCTTGCTTCACAGTCGGCGCAGGAAAAGGTGTTTGCATTGGTTAGTGCTGTATCGTTTCTGGGAAACACGACGAGCGCACGCCTCGTCAGTCTCAGATTCTGCAGCAAAAGGCATAAAATGGACGAACCAGAGCACACGGCCGGCGGTCACCGACTCACCGGCCGTGCCGTGCTCGTGCGTGTTACATACAGAGCACGCGGCGAAATCCATCTCAAACACTTGCTTGACGTCCAGGATGTTCACCTGTTCCCTGACTTAGCAATTTACTCTCTGCTTTTCGTTGAGTGTGGTACGGTAAGCGACCGGACGGTAACAAACCGGGGAATCACAACCGAGTGCCCATTCATTGGCGGCTTGGCTATACGTGTCAGCAGACGCAGGGAGTAGTCAGTAGTCACCACAGCTGATAGCGCACCACTACTTGCTCCAGTTCGCGGTGGATAGACAGTAAAGTAGAATCCAAACACCACTGAGTCTGAGCTGAACGGCGCGCGGAAGCTCACCCACCTACAGGCAGTGGAAGATGACGCTGACGTCCGGCGGCCGTGGCCCGTGGGGTGGGGAGGGGGAGGGAACAAGGCCTCGTTTAGTTGCCAAACTTTGAACGTGTAAAGTTGGTAAAATATACTGTAGCGTTAATGTAATATTTCGTTTGTATTTAGTAATAATTGTCGAACCGTTGACTAATTAGGCTTAAAATGTTAAATCTCAGTAAAGTACAACCAAACAACTGCAACTAGTTTTTAATTTCGCTCTACATTTAGTATTTCATGCATGTACTGCAAGTTTTTGATATAATGAAATCTTTTTTTTTTGCATAGTCTTAAAATTTGGGAGTTTGGGAGGAACTAAACAAGGGCCAAAAAGACATGCAGATCCGGCCCCATGAAACGTTCTAGAGCTTTGACACGTCATGCGCTTAGGGCGACGCTGGTGGTGGACGCGAGTCCAGCGTCTTTGCGCAGCGCATAAAAAACCCGAGATATTCTGGAGATAGGGGAGAAAGTGAGGCGGGTGTGACATCGACATCGCCCGTCCGACTGGTCCGGGCCGGGCGGCGTCGCTGTAACCCCTAGATGGATGGAAGGGCAAAACCTAGGTACCGTTTAGTTCCACTCCAAAATGCCAAATTTTTCAAGATTTCCGTCACATCGAATCTTTGACGTGTCGTGAAGCATTAAATATAAATAATAAAAATAAAACTAATTACACAGTTTAGACGAAATTCACGAGATTTAATCTTTTAAGCCTAATATAATTGGACACTAATTACCAAATAACAACGAAAACTGCTACAGTGTCATTTTGAAAAAAAAAATCGGCATCTGAACGGCACGAAAGCTGCACAGTACGAAGATGAGTGATTAACTGTGCATAGTTGCTACTCTTCTTTTATATAATCCAACAATTGCTAACACTAACTACAGTCTCGGAAGGGGGACAGAATACGCCTGAGACCTGGGGCTGGGCACTGGCTGACTGGCGGTGTTCTCGTCGAAGCAGACTGGGTAACCTGCACGTAGTCAAGTCACAAGACGCAAAATCAAGACGGAAATGCTTAGGCTTGGGCGCCCGATCGCCTCTGTAAGCGGGCCGCGACGCCAACATAGACTAACCTAAACGTTCTAATGCGCTTGTTTAACTAAGAATAGTTCGTTTAAAAAAAGATTGAGAATCGTTCGACCAATTACTTTAGAAACAAAACCAAATCATACTCTTCACTCGTTGAGTTCTCTTGACCACCGTGGCATGGTCCACGGCGACCCCTCCGGTCAGCGTTCTTCACTGCACCCGGCCGCCAACCTGTCTTCATCCTTCCTCCTCACCACACTTGAGCGTCGCCGCGCAGCTTCTTCCCTCTTGACCATGCTCACTGACTGATGTGTGTGGTTTCCATTCTGCATCGCGCCCTCGTCCGCTTCCTGTCCCTCTAGCGGCAGCTGAGCGACGACCAATCGGCCTTCCCCTCTCTCTCTCCATGGCGCTCAATCCGCTGCCTCCCTCAGCGACGGTCTCCAGCAGTGATGCGTACGAGATCGGGTAGGGGTGACTCCACTAGCAGAGGCGGCTCCCCCAGCAGGGGTGACTCACCCAGCAGCGGCTGCGATGACGATGGCCAGCATGCAGATTTCTGGAATCGCCCGTTCCTCCACTCTGTGTTACGTCGTACGGAAGAAGAAGGGTGAAAATTGCATGTTGCAAGTGTTTTATTGCAAGTGTTGTATATCGATGTTACAAAAGTAGATCGGGGTGTTGCACATGTTGTAATGGCTACACACGTATGTTTCAAATGTATGTTCTAAATATTTTATCTATTCCAGACGTATGTTGTAAGTGTTTTTATCTAGGTGTTGTAAAAGTAGATCTGGATGTTACATATACATGCATCTCGTAAGCATATGTTTCAAGTGGTTTTAGGTGTTTCATATGTATGTTTGCAAGTGTTTCATATGGATGTTGCATATATTTGCAATGGTTCTCAAATTATTGGGTATCGATATTAGGGGTACCCAAAGTAAGGAAGTTAGTGCCCACGCTGACTTTCCCGGATGGCTCGAGACGTATTAAAAGGTCTCGCCCGACCCCAAAGCTGCGGGCTCCGTCTCGTCCGACCTCAAGGCCGCGGGCTCCGTCTCGCCCGACCCCTTGGGTGCGGGCTCCGTCTCGCCCGACCCCTTGGGTGCGGGCTCCGTCTCGCCCGATCCCAAGGATGCGGTTTTCGTCTCGTCCGACCTCGGGCTCCATCTCGTCCGACCTTGAGGTCACGGGCTCCGTCTCGTCCGACCCCTTGGGTGCGGGCTCCGTCTCGCTCGACCCCAAGGAACGGGTCCGTCTCGACCAAGGCCGCGGGCTCCGTCTCGCCCGACCTTGAGGCCGCAGGCTCCGTCTTGCCCGACCTCGAGGCCGCGGGCTCCGTCTCGTCCGACCCCTTGGGTGTGGGCTCCGCCTCGCCCGACCCCAAGGACGCGGTTTTTGTCTCGCCCAAGGTCGTAGGCTCCGCCTTGCTCGACCTCGAGGACGCGGGTTCCGTCTCGTACGACAGGGACCCATACCGCCACCAACCACTCCAGGTCCAAGCGTATGGCCCTGGATCAAAACTCTGACGCCAGAAAAGAGGCTGGCATGCCTCGATGTAACCCATGGCCATGACAGGCCATACCATGGCCATGACGAGTCTGGCATGCTAGACGCTCGCTCGCTCCATGTACGGACACCCAGACACTAACGCCCGGATCGCTAGCAAGTCCAAAATCAAAACAGCAAAGCCCTGTTTGCTTGAACTTATCAGCCGTACCTTTCCAACAAAATAATAATATTTTTCTCTCACAATAAATCAGCATTAATATCAACATAAGCCATTTTTCCCACAAATGTTTCGATCGTCTACTGAGTTCTAACCCAGGCCTGGGTCAGATGCCTTCCCCCAAGCCCACAATATACATGGGCCGGCCCAAAACCTGGGCTACGAAACGACCAAGCTTGTCAAGGAAGCTCCTACTCATCTCGACATCTCAGGACTCGGGAGGGGAAAGAGGGAAAACCCCACTCATTTCCCGCCCGAACATCCGAACCGCCCGCCGCCGACTCCCGCTCCGGCGATGTCGGCGACCACGGCCTCTGCCAGTCAGCCCTCGTCGCAGCAACCTCCGCCGCCACCGCCCACTGCTGAGGTCGTCCTCCGCCTCGCCTCCCGCGACCCCTCCGCCGCGGTGCCCCTCCTCCCGGAGCTCCCGCCCGACGACCTCGCCGACATCCTCGCCTCGCTCACCGCCGCCTCCCCCGCGGGCCACCTCGCCCTTCTCCCGGCGATCCTCGCGCTCTCGCCCTCCCCTTCCGCCGCCTCCACCGCGTTCGCCGCCCTCCTCTCCGCGCCCAGCTGGCCCTCCTCCACGCTCATCGCCGTCGCCGCACTCCTCCGCGACCTCCCGTCGGCCTACCGCACCCGCATCCCCGCCTTCCTCGGGAAGATAATCTCCCTCCTCCCAAGTGCGGATGCCCAGGACCTCCCGGTCCTCGCCTACCAGCTCCTCCTGCTCGCGTCCAAGCCGCTCTACCCGCGCGTCGTCCTCGCGGGTCTCCTGCGCTTCTTCGGCGGCCGCCGAGGCGCCCGCGTTCGCGCGCCGCCGTCCTTCGCGCGTCAGGTCGAGAGCACCGCGCTGATGAACGTCGCGTTCGCGGTCAAGCAGGACCCCGCGCTGGCGAGGGAGGTCCTGGCCGCCGTCAAGGCTGACGCCGCGGGCGCTCTCAGTGGATTCGCGGTGGCAGTGATGCTGTTCGTGGCCAGGGTGCGGAGGTTCAACGAGGGTGCCGTGAGTATGCTCCGGGATGCGGCCGTGGTGTCCCGCAGAGATTACCGAATGTCAAGGTGACGGATTGCTCGTTATTCTACCATCTATTATAATTACTCGTGTTTGCTCTAGAAATTTGTTCTGATCAAAGGCCAGTGTCTCTCAGGCGGTGCAAATGGTTGCCGGATTGTATGGAAGAGGAATATGCACGGGCCACTCAATGTGTCGAGAAGGGACTACTGAAATCTGTGAGGGATTCATATCTCATAGTACCTGCCATGTCAGTTGTGAACTGATCATAAAGTCTGCTTAGATTCGTAGTTCTATTTGGGGTGTATACGGTGTCTTATATGCAGGTCGACGAGAGCATTGTTGGGAGGGAGCATGTTGTGCCAAGCATTGTTCAGGTGGGTTTTCTCCTGTTAGAAGTCTCAGATGGTGATCAAGGGGGAGGAAGGTGGCTTAGGTGAAGGAGTAATGAGCACCGAAGAAATAGGCATTAATATGCTCAAGTCATTGTTTGAGATCCATGAAATGGCACGAACTGAGGTACGTATCGAAACAGCATGACCTTTGTCTTAACAAGTCGGATCATAGTTATAAATTGGTTTATTTGATATGACATGGTGTGTTTCAATTTTGAAAATTTGGGGTCAGATAATTGAACAGTGCAAGTTCCGGATTCTCTCGGCAAAGCCTCAGCAAAGTGCACCAGTTCTCAGGTCATACGGCATAGCAACCCTAGTCAAAATTTACAAAGCACAAGTTATAGTCTACAGTTCAATATGTTTGTTTACCTTTTCTTTTTGAGGAAATGTCTGACCATCTTTTCATTGCAGGTTGCTTGGATGCTTGATTTTGAGTCAACCATTTCCAATGCTGGAATTCATTGCACATTTGAAGGAGTTGCTGGATTATTTTTCTTTTATGAATGACAAGATATCAACTGGTTTGATCAGTTGCGTCTTGCCACTCACAAAGTTCAGCCTTGATCTGAAGGTCTTCAGCCTTAACAATATTTTGTGCTTATGTGGCTGGAAAAGACTCGTTCGATTGTTCTAAAGTGTATTTTTACAGGATTACATAATACTGGTTGTAAGAAAGGCGATGTTCAAGAGGGAGGACATGGTCCGAATTGCTGCTACAAATGCTATAATTGAGCTGATTATTGCAGAAAGCAGGAAAAGTGAAGCCAGTCCTTTTGAAGACTCAACAAGTCAGCCAAGCTCTAGCCAACAGCCTGAAACACATCTAGAGTTTGGTAGGGGTCTCTTTCAGGAACTAAGTGGATTGCTTCGGAGATGTCTCTCACATCAGGTTTCACTGCTTTCATTATGATGTACTACCATACAACTGGTTCATCTCTAGTAAGACCTACAGTTCCCAGCATAATTAGTTTGCTCTTGCAGGCCAGTGTCAAAGAGATCTTGTATGAGGGTCTTATACGTATTGTTACCTCTGATCCAGCTGTTTCTGACAATGTCCTTGATTTCCTCTGGCCTCACTTCCAAAACTATTACTCAGAGGTAACACTCCCTGACAGACCCTTTTTTCTGTTTATGTTTGTTGGTCGATGTAGACCCTTATTTCTGAAAATATGTTGTGATCCTCTTGACTGCATCCTTGCAAAATGAAGTTGGTCTCATGGGTTTTTTGTTTCTGATTTGCTTTAGGATGCAGAAGGCCCTCTTAAAATTGGTTCATGCTTCAAAGTAGAGCATGCCAAACTATGCATTGTGGAACCTTTAGATTGTCTGCTGTCATGTATCTCAAGAATTCTGCAAATTAAGCAACATAGTAAATGTGAACGGCCACGTGATGCATATTGGAAGTGCTTTGGTTTTGCTGCTTCACAAGATAATGAGGTTGGTTTATCTCCTTCTAACTTCTGTCGATAAACAGCTAAAGGTTTTGATGTTATGCCTCTCGTTCTAGTCTTGTTCTATGTTTTTATATAACCAATCTATTTTCAGGTTGGACAAGCATCATCAAGTGATTTATTAAGTGAAAGCTCTATCAAGCATCCAAAAGTATTTGAGGATATCCCTCACAGGTTTGTGATATGTCATAGATAAAGCAAGCCAATCCGAGCACAATAATGCTATTTAAGAGGACATTTTTCTGTGCTTATAATTTCTGCATGTTGACAGACCAGAGAGGACAAAGCCAAGAAGCTGGTTCTCTTTCTTCACTATCGGAGGTTGCTCACTGTCATAACTTTGCTATGCTTGGAATCATTGAGGTTTTTGTTGATTTTTTGCTGCTTCAAAACTGGAGAAAGCCTCTGATGAATCGAAGGAAATGATAGAAAAAGAAATACTGGAGCTTGTTAATGTGCACAGTGGCTTTGAGAAAAAAATGAGCAATGGTAGGGAAAGGATAGCACGGAGAAGAGCGAATGCTGGTGATGCTACAGATAAGCACACCAATGAACCCAGGGAGAATTCTAATGCTTCATTGCAGAAACTTCATGGAAAGAGGGTAAATTTGCCGACTTCGAGTTTGTATGAACTTTCGGTAATGTGTGTCAAGCAGTGCCATGCTGATAACTACAACAACGTTAGTCAGCATCCTAGCCAAACTACATTGAACCAGTGCTCCAATCTGACATCTTTTGTACTGAAAGCCTTTCTTGAATTGTCGAAATCACTTGCATCAAAGGACAGTAGGGGCTTCAGAATAAAGCTGCATGAAGATTTTAAAAAGTTATGCCAGCCAATAATGCAGCTTGTATGGTGTTTTCTGTTAGATCCAATTCAAGAAAATGGTGGAAGCAAGAGGAACATGACCCAAGGAAAGAAAAACATTGAGTGCAAAAGGATCAGTTATATTTGGCTCTGACATGCCTAAAAAAATTCCTTGAGCCAAGTGTTTCAGGAGATCACTCTAGTGATGTCATTGATTTTCTAATATCTTTGGCTCCGCCAAATATAGAGGATATGATGGATCTTTGTGGATCTTGACAATAATGATACCACTATGGTTGAAGATCGAAGCACAAGAAATGTCCATATGCTTTTGAACATATTGAAGACGTTATATGCTAGACTTCTTACCCAATCACTTTTACGTGAATCTGAGGTAAATATGTTTGTGATCTAGGATTGAAAGCAACATTGGATGGTTTGAAATTTTACTTGGATCATATGTAGAATTAGGATGGTCGAGTCTCTTTGTCAAGACATACTAAAGATACTCCCTTCAAATTATAAAAATTAAGCTTTGACTTTTTTGGTACATTTATTTTGTTATGTATCTAGACATGCGTTATATCTAGATACATAGCAAAATTGATGTACCAAAAGTCAAAGTGACTTATAATTTGGAAACGAAAGAGAAGTTGACTAATCGGCTGATTGATTGATTCTCTTAGGAATTGGCTCTATTGTACAATTTAAAAACATGGTAGCACACTAGATGCTTCATGTTGTCTATTTATTATGGATGTCTCACACACTCACGTAATTTCCCCGCTTAAAATTCTGAAACACCGATTACCTAAAACATCAATATATTTTCATAGGAAGTATGAGGGGTCTTCTAGGTGGCATTACATCAGACAGTCATAATTTGAGTACTTTCTATTTTGTTTGGTGGAAAGTACAGTCATATTTTGTTTGGTAGAGGGTCTCCATCATCCACACCATGCTCCTCATCGTTGGCCTCATCAATCCGGGCCCGACGTTCACTGCCTCCGCCTTGGTGCCCACCCCCCGGTCCGGCGCCAACACTCACCCCCTTCCGTCGATTCGGCCTCGCAAGGCATGAACTAGAGAGTTTGGCAAAGATCGCATCTTGGAGGATGTCGTCCTCGGATCTCCCGGCATCGGGGCCGATTCTTGGGCTCTCCTCCTCTCGCGGCCGCTTCGGAGGCCTTTTCGTGGGCTCCCCTTGACCAAACCTTGGGGGTCGCTCGGGCGGAGAGGGCCCTTCCTCTGGAGGCCACAAGAGCGGATCTACTTGATGATTCTCGATCGTCGTCCTCGAGGAGTCGATGACTTGTCGTTGGTGGCCATGGACACCATGGGGAAGGCGGTCGCCGAGCCCCGCCCGGGCGTGGCGTGCGTTAAGCGCCACCGTCCGACGCCGCCACAGCGCCACCTCTACATTTATGGCGGATGCGCATCGCCGCCGCCTACGTCGGTCGAGGTCCCCTCTCCATCCGTCGTCACCTTGAGGAGCGCCGCCATGACCACCGGAAGGCCTCCCCTCGTCGCCACACCGATGCGCCCCCAGCCACCACGTCCCCAGGATGAGCGCGCCCGTGGACAAGGATGGCTTCACGTTGGTGCAGAGTCGCCGTCGCTGGCGCCATCGCGCCGTCGAAGCGCCACCCGCTCATGTGATCCCTCCGGAGTTAAATCGGCCGCCGCTTCAATTGCCTCGCCTCGACCACATCCACATGAACTGCACCTTCCCATCGCGGTGCTACCATCGCCACAAAGACGCCGCACCGCGGTAGCGGAATCGCAGCGCCGGCACTCGCCTCGGCCCGGCCTTTCCGGGGGCGTGGAGCCTTCCGGCGTCGCGGCGTCGCCGCAACGACAGCCACGCCGCTTGTCAAGCACGCGTGTCGGGCCGCTCTTGCTCCACGGACGGGACACTTCCGTCCATCCGATGTCGCGCCACACTTCCATTCGCCACGACAATCGCCGGCGTGCAACGGAACTTCGCCGCCGCCACGCTTCCGTCCAGAGCACGCGCCGCCACCACTCGAGACGCTTTGCCGCGGAGGCCTCCGCCGCCTCCCCTCCGCCATCACACCGCCGCTCGGCGCGTCTCTCCGCGCCCCTTTGGGCTGCTGCTCTTCCCTCGGACCGCTGGAGCTCAATGCGGTGAGCGCACTCTCTTCGCTTCGCCTGGTGACGTTGGTGGGAGGAACCGCCACGCCCGGTCTAGCCGGCCTTGAGCAGAAAGGAACATCTGCGATCGTTCTACAACATGCTTGAGGATGCATTCACGGCGATCGCCACTCACGAGGACTTCCTCGTCGCGGTTCACCGCCGAGATGACCTCGAGTGCGTTCTCGACGCTTCTGTACCCATCGGGACGCCATTCTACCTGCTCTGGAGAAGATGGTGCCGTCACTCCATGGCGTCCACTGGTTCGCTGAAGTACAGAGTGCTCCTTGGCATCAAGGGGATGCCGGCACACCTTTGGGGCCTCTCCTCCGCTGAGCGCATCTTGGGCTCGTCTTGCGCCAGCATTGAGCCTGCTCCGGCAACCGTCGCCGGCGGCGAGGAGCGAAGTAGCGAGATGCGTGGTCGCAACTTGGTGCGTCCACCCCAACGTCATCCCCTAGGAGAAGCTTCATCGATTCTGAACCGGAGACACCCTTCGTTGTTGTGCCGCCGCTCTACCCCAGGGAACACGAGGTGATCCACTCCGAGCTCATGGTCCTACGCTACCGCGTCCGCATCCGCATCATCGAGGTCCAAGACTGGACTTCCCGGCCGCCGCCCTCTGATGATGAGGCCCTCGGTGACTCCGGCAATGATCCTGACTGGGGTTTTGGCGGGGTCGTTCAAGTCCTTGGCAGCGTCGACACCGCTTCAACAACGGCGACGGTGGCGATGGTGGCGCCGGTGAGGATGCTTGCGCCCGACCCGTCTTTGGGCGGGTCGGGGCCACTTTCGAGAGAGACTTCGGTGTAATTGTTGGTGATTTCGCTTGCCCTCGTCCGTCACTCACCACAGCGGGGAGAGGCGCGTCATCCATTCCTTTGTCGGGATAAACCGACGATCGTCGACCACTACATCCTTGTCGCCACGAGCAGCCTCCGCCGTTGGACCCATTTCAAATTGAAGCCAAGAAGGACAAACCAACACCACAATGGCGAGGATCCGATGCTTCTTTCCCATGAGCATAGCTGGTCCCCTATGAAGCTCACGCACGCGCACGACGCGGCATCGAGACCGTCGATGACCACTTGTCGCCGCTTTACCGCCAACCACCTGCTATGAGTCCTGGGCTCCGGTGGGTAATATGAAAACTGAGCAGGGCCACCTCGACCAAGCAATCCTTTTGGGGAACCGACACGGCGCGTCTTGGGCGGCGGAATGGGTGGTCGACGTACACGACACATGCCTCTGGCTGCCCGAAGACCAGGATCTATCCCTAGGCGGACCTACCACTCCATAAGATCTAGGTCCGCCTGCCCAAGTCGATGTTGTGCCACAGTCGCCCCCCGCGGCCCATGCTCCGGTCCAGGAGACTGCATGGGCGGAGATCTTTCTAGATGCTGGGCTGGACCTGCATGGGCCGTCGCTTGTGGCCTCCGATCCACGACTCCGATCGCGATCGGGCCCAACAAACAATCCCACGAGGACAACAAGCATCACCCATCGAGATAATAACCAAGACCACGAAGTGCAACCGGCTCATCCGACCGTGGACGGCCCAGCAACGATGACCCAACGTTCCCCTACAGTGCGCCCTACCTCGGTCAAAGACTTCATTGCTGGCCTCAGGCTGCCGCTCGAGCCGCCGCTCATCTAGTCACCGCCGCGCCTCCGTGTCTCGCGTGTTCCGGTGGAGAACCTTGTCCTGCGTTGCAGTGACAGGCCTGCGGCGAAGTCTGTCTACCGCGACCCCAACCCGGAGAAGCAGGCCAAGCGGGTCCCTGCTGAACAAGTGGCAGCCCTCATCCAGCTCCACGGACGTCGCCGGTGACACCCAACGCCTCCATCGCCACTCGTTTCCAGGAGACGTTCCAGGAGCCGCTGTCTTCATCCAAGCGCGCCGCAATGCGGGAACTCTTCCCCATGCAAGGTGCTCGCAGGAGGCACGCGGCGACGCAGGCGTCTTGAGCTCGGGTTCCCTCAACGTCACAAGCTCTTAGGTCGCACTTTTAGTTTCTTAGTTAGTTACAATAGCATGTGTTCCACCGCTCGGCGGTGCCTTGTGTTCGTGTTCAACCCCTTCACTCATGGCACCTCGCCGTGATGTGATGTTGGGCGTGTAAACCTTCTAGCTTCTTCTTAATGAAACACGTGCTACGCACGTTCTCGAAAAAAAGTGCTCTGATCACTTTCCTTGTCTTTGCTTTGTTGTACCATGCAAATGTTGTGTTTCTATTGAGAATAACTCTTTATAAATCAACTATCATGAAACAGCATATAATGAAAACTGAATTGATATACTAAAGTTCTTGTTCATTTCTGTAGGCTGTAACTGAATTGATTTTGGTCATTTCAAGAAAAGTGCATCTTGAACAAAGGCATCTTATCGGAAAATGGGCTACAGATCTATGCAGAAAGAAAACCACGCAAAGTCCTAGTATCGCACGAGAGATGGTAAAGCTAGCTATACATCTTACACCAACTCCAGATGACATGATTCTTGTTTGTGACGTGTCTGCTGAGTTGATGAAATTAATGACCTCTGGAGATGACGGAGATTCTTCTGATACATTTCATATAATTAACTGTAAAACGAAGAGCTCACTTGCTGCTGTCTCACTTCAAATGGTTGAGTCATCTCTTACTGAATTGGATTGGGGTCTTGGAAAGCTTAAAGCAATGCTTACATTAGGTTATGATTCTGCTAACATTGATGAAGATCAACCAGCAGAAGAAATAATGCTAAGGTTGGCTTTGGAGAAAGCACTCTACTCGAGATCAACATCAGTAGTTCAAGTCCTCTCTTCCTTTGCACATATGAGCCTTAAGGGTATGTTGTGAGGTACCATAATATGTTCATTTCGTTCCATTTCTACTTGTGGCCTGATTTGAACTTTTCATTCTCAGATACTCAAGCAGAACACTTTCTGAAATTGACTGCCAAGTTCTACAAGCTGTTAACTCGCATGTCAAAGTCCCAGATTGCACCTAAAGGCTACACAAATCCATTCCAAGCCTCAAGTTTCAGAAACTGGCTGAAGTAACTTGCAAGATGCTCACCGCTCCCTTTATGACTTTGTGTCTCAACAGGTCTTTTTCATCTTCTAAATACAGCATTGATGCGCATGGCTTCTATAACTGTGGTTTCAACTTGTTTTTTCTGTTTTCTTTCTTGTGTTGCAGAATCAGCAAATACCCAGAAAGGGAACATCGCTAAAATTAGAAGAGAAACCAAATGTATCCCTGATCTAATTTATCAGATTGAGGATTATGAGAAGTATCTAATACAACTAAGCAAACTCACTAAGGTAAACCTTTTGAGACATGCCAAGCGCAGTGTAGCACGAGACTTCCAGATAAAAGATAAATCTGGGGAACAACAGGAAGAGGATCCCACTCCAGACAATGCTGCAGCATCTGATAATGAGGCTAACAAGGACGCAGGGGGTCCAAACACTCCAGTTGAATCATATGCTGACGAAAATGCATCATCTGAAAGTGAGCATGATGCGGATGCAGGAGGTCCAAACACTCCGGTTGAAGCAGATGCTGATGAAACCATTAGGTCTAGCATTCCATGTGGTAGACCAGTCCAGGAGTCTGAATTTGATAGAGAAGAGGAAGAAATATTAGCACGGAAGAAGAGAGCTAAGACAAAACAAATCGTGCAGGATTCTGATGAAGAGGCGGAAGATGAATAGTTTTTTTAGACATTATTTCAAATCTCAAATCGTGTATTGTAGGCAACATCAAGGAATATAGATCAATTGTAAATAGATGGTTTTGCATAAGTTTTTGTGGGTTATCTTGTTGGAAGATGTAAAATTTATGGTTTTGCAAAAGTTTTTGTGGGCCATCATGTTGATTATAGACCATGCACAGAATATATGTAAAATAGAAAAATAGAAAATGCTATATGTTAACGCTCTTCTTTGGTTACAGTTTTATCTATGAATTCAACGTTAGGAGTTAAATCGCAGATCATGTTAAGCTTGTTCGTAGTACCTTCAGTTTTTATAGGCATGGGGATTTATTTTTATATATTACAAATCCGTATTAGCGCATGGAGTAATTTATTGACAAAAAGTTATATTGAGGGCTGGGAAAAAGTTTAGTGCACCCATTACTCTATATGCTTGGATAGAATAGAAGTATCTTTTACTTACTAATTATTAGTCCAAGTGATCCAAACATACATTTATTTCGACGAGTAAAAAAATCTGCTCTTAGAATTGACCACAGGTCATCGAAAAAATCAATTATGTATTGGCCAGGCTTGAGCCATGATTCTTTAACCAGCAGCAACCATAGGGTTAGGCGCGAGCTGTATTGGCCGGCCACAAAAAAAAATCAGGTTATTTTAGCTCGACATTTGATCATACGCAGCTTCTTGCTTGTAAAGCACATTTTGTTCCAATAGTTTTGTGGCATGCATGACCCATTTGTTCGGCAGGTTACAAGCGTCGATAAAATCCGAAAACAATACTTACAGACAACAGAACGTAATAGAGTCACAATCCATTTTTGTAATATTTATACGGAGTACTTCATTTGTCAAATTTCAAATCTGAAAGGAACCGATAAGTCGGGCTGATGCCACCTGCCACCTCCTTTGCCATAGTACACCTGCTTGTCCAATTTCTTAATCAAGGGAGACAGTTCAAAAGCTTGAAGTGCCAAGGGGACGTCGGGCGACCTGCCCATGACCTCTCCTGACACTTCCTTGCCCCCACTCATTCCTACTAAGCCCTTATTTAGTTTTCACGTTAAAACTTTACACCATGTCACATCGAATGTTTAACATATTTACAGAGTATTAAATGTAGACTAAAAAAATAATTAACTGCACAGTTTGCGACTAATTTACAAGACGAATCTTTTAAGCCTAATTAGTCCATAATTTGATAATAAAGTGCTACAGTAACACATGTGCTAATGATGGATTAATTAGGCTTGATAAATTCGTCTCGTTGTTTACTGACGGATTCTGTAATTTATTTTTTTATTAGTATCCGAACACCCCATACAACATCTCCATATAACATCCGATGTAACATCCAGAAACTTTACATGCTGGATCTAAACCAGACCTTAGGGTTGCCTCCACAAGGTGTTCTTGCGGGAGTGATACGAGGGGTTAGACAAGCTTAAAACACTACTAAAAATTGAAAAATCTTTTTAGGTTTTTTTAGGATGGCTAAACTTGAGATTAGTTAGCACTAAACTTGAGAGATGGAGGGAGCTTGGATGTCGAAATGCTCTGAAGTTTTTGGCTGTGCAAATGAGCTCCTCTATGGGGGTTTTTGTAGCCAAGGAGGGGGAGATGCTAGAGGCACCGTGTGCCCGTCGCCCCGACCCCCCTAGTGCCCCCCGTTTTCAAAATTTGAATGCTCGGCATTGCATAAGGCCTGCCAAAAATTTTCACCCCAAACTATCACATCGAATCTTGCGGCACATGCATGGAGTATTAAATATAGACAAAAAAAAAACTAATTGCACAGTTTGGTTGGAAATCACGAGACGAATGTTTTAAGACTAATTAGTACATGATTAGCCATAAGTGCTACAATACTAACATGCGCTAATGATGGATTAATTAGGCTTAATAAATTCGTCTCGCAGTTTTCAGGTGAGCTATGTAATTAATTTTTTTATTAGTATCCGAAAACCCCTTCCGACATCCCAAAACATTCGATGTGGCATCCAAAAATTTTCATTTCGCGAACTAAACACAGCCTTGTACAGAGAGCAAAGAGGAGTGGCAGGCAAGGATGTGATGGAATGGGTCATAGTCACGTCCCCTGACCGTCTTAGAGCATCAGCAGTGTGAGGTTCGAAGGTGTGCCGATACAATAAATGCATGGATCGTACCTGGTTTGATACACTGGGAGGCCGGTTCGATGGAGACACGGGTCCTTCCTATCGAACCTGCTCCTAGCGAAAAAAGAAATCATGATCCCCCTCTCTCTCTCTCTCCTGCCGTTGACACTCCCGCGCTGGGCCTTGGGCACGAGCGAATCGGCCTTGCGGCGGCGGCCGTCCGCGTGGCGATGAAGTCGACCTCCCCGCCGTGGTTGAGGCGGAAGACCCAGGACACCGGTGCAGCCGTAGCCTCGCAAGCGCGTCCCGGCGACGAGGGCTTCCACACGACGCCTAGTGGAGGCGGCGACACTGCTGGTCCTTGGCGAGGTGAAGGGCTCGGGGGGAGGGGGCCAAGGACAGGGACTGGACGGACCAGGCGAGGAGCGGCGGCGGCGGGGCGGAGGCTGGGGACGGCGGGGTGGAGTAGGAGGAGGAGACCGGCGAGGCACTGCCTCGCCCGCTCGCCGGCGAGGAGAGAGGAGAGAGGAGGCGGAGGAAGTCTGCGGACGGGGATGCGATGCGATGACGGAGAGAGACGAGGATGCGATGTCGAGTACTGGGCTGGGATGCGATGTCGAGTGCTGGGGAAGTTGGGCTGTTGGGCTGCATTTTGTTTTTTTAATGTGGTGGGACCCATCTGTATGCTCAGGCCTGGTTCTATACATTGTGGGCTGTTTAATAGATAAAGTCACGTCAAAATATAGAACCAGGGTTGGTTCTATACACTGCTGATGCTCTTATGGCTGCTTTCTCAGGAAAATTTCAGAGCAAAGCTCCTTGGATACCTAGCAAAATATGACGGAGAGAGATGAGAGGGGTTAAGTATCATTAGGGGGTCTGTCGACCTCCCTAGTGCCCCTCCTTCCTGTGAAATGCAAAGATTCTTTCCTCTAGTGATTAGTGAAAGGGAAAAACAAAAGTTGAGTGGAGGATGGGACCACATGCATGCCGCCCGACGTCCTCTTGCCCCCCTCTTTTGGTTTTGATAAGAGCCATACGGCCTGTTCGTTTGGCTTATAAGTTATATTTTTTTAGTTAATGAATAATATTTTTCTCTTACAACAAATCAGTTAACATTATTTTCAGTCATGGTTTATCAGCCCAGCAAAGAGGGCTTAGGATGCTTAGTAGGAGTGAGTGGGGGGCAAGGAAGTGAGAGGTCATGGGCAGGTCGCTCGATGTCCCTTTTGTCATCTTAGAGCTTTTGAATTGTCTCCCTTAATTAAGAAATTAGACAACCAGGTGTACCATGGCAAAGGAGGTGGCAGGTGGCAGGTGGCATCATGGTGGAGTCGGCCGACCCCACTTTGACCCCTCCAATAGCTCAAAGTTTAGTGATAAATCACAATCTATAGCTTTTAATTGAGTTCAACCAGGCTCTCAGGGCCTTGTATTAACGGACGTAAACTCGACGAAATCGCGAGTTACCAAACTGTTTACAAACTCCCGGAGGGGATCGTTCCACACAGAGGATTGACCTGGGTCCCAACTTAAGACCTTGTTTAGATTGCTTTAAAATTTCAAGTTTTTTCACTCTTTTTCTATCACATCAATTTTTGAATGCATGCATAAAGTATTAAATGTAGGTAAAAAAAATAACTAATTACATAGTTTGATTGTAAATCACGAGACGAATCTTTTGAGCCTAGTTAGTCCATGATCGGACAAAGTTTATCAAATATAAATGAAACATGCTACAATGTGCAGATTGTAAAAATTTGCAATCTAAACAAAGCCTAAAGCTAACTTGGCAATCTCGTGCGCAGACGAGTTACAGGAACTTGGAATATTTAAAATCTTATTACAAAGAAAACGATCGGCTAGAAGTTCTCGGATGCTACGGAACAGTCCGCCTCCTGGTGTCATAAGTTTCAAAAATTTTTACCCAAAGTGTTACATCGAATCTTGCGGCACATGCATGGAGTACTAAATGTAGATGAAAAAAAAATTAATTATACAGTTGGGTGAGAAATCATGAAATGAAACTTTCAAATATAATTAGTTCATAATTAGATACTAATTACTAAATACAAACGAAAAGTGCTACGGTAGCCGGTAGCCAAACCAAAAAAAAATTTGGGAACTCAACGCGCCCTTAAACCAACAGGGTGAAAGGATGGCGGCCCTCGGCCCTCGGCATGATGGTGCGCGTGCACAAACCTGCCCGTAGTCCGTAGAGGCGTAGATCCGCGTGCAGCCGTGCACAAACACCGGCCCCTCCTCTATATAAGCCTCACTCTTTCGACTCGACTTCGAAAACCCTAGAACCGGCGCCGCCGCCGCAGCCGCAGGTCCTCACTGCTCGCCGCGCGTTGCAATGGTGATACATCTAACCTCCTCGCAAATCGCAAACTTCTCGTCTCGGGTACCATGGACCGTTGTCCGTAGCTGATACATAGCCCACTTTTCTCGCAGGGTATCGACCTAGTCGCCGGCGGCCGGAACAAGAAGACCAAGCGCACCGCGCCCAAGTCCGACGATGTCTACCTCAAGCTCCTCGTCAAGGTACTTTCTATCCTCGCCCCGATCTGATGGCAACTGGCTCGGATTTGGATACGGCCGCCATCGCATGCGTCCCGCCTCCTGATCTGTGCCCGCATTGTCGCAGCTGTACCGCTTCCTTGTTCGGAGGACCAAGAGCAACTTCAACGCTGTGATCCTGAAGCGGCTCTTCATGAGCAAGACCAACCGCCCGCCTCTCTCGCTCCGCCGCCTCGTCAACTTCATGGAGGCCAAGGTCTCGCTTCGGCTTCCATTCAGATTTTTGTTTGCTGAATGTGCTTTGTGGGTTTATGTCACATTGTGTGTTTGCGGTAGTTCAGGAGAACCAAATTGCTGTGATTGTGGGCACTGTGACCGACGACAAGAGGGTCTACGAGGTACCAGCAATGAAGGTGGCTGCGCTTAGGTTCACTGAGACGGCAAGGGCCCGGATTGTGAACGCGGGTGGCGAGTGCCTCACCTTTGACCAGCTTGCGCTGCGTGCCCCGCTGGGCCAGAACACGGTAATGCCCACAGTTCAACTCTAATTTCGAATTCCTACGGGTCAGTTTAAATGTGGATATGAACAATGGTATGGTTCAATGCTAGTCTAGGGGAGGTCTTACTGAAGTGTCATTGAACTTCAGTTAACAGCTGGTTGTTAGAAATGATTTATGATCTGAACTTTTCTCTGTATTGCTTGAAGTATTTATTGTTGAACTGTGTGGGATGTTGCTTTATTTCTGATGCTCTGCCTGCATTGTCAGGTTGATGGCCATCTATTCATATATGCTGTATTTTGTATCTGAATGTGCATAATTAATAGTTGTATGGAAAAGCTGAACATCGTTCAAGCTAAATAAACTATTGAGACATTCACATTTTCCTTGTTATCTCTCAATGATGAGATCAAAGCAGACGGGCGGTCAGAATCTGATGCTGTGTTGAGTGTCTGCATTTTTGTGCATTCCACTTCTGGAATGCATCTGATAGTGAGAACAAGGCATTTCACTTGCAGCCGTATTGCCTGTTTTCTAGAGCCAAAAATCACTGTAGTCATGTTGTGGATATATTCCTCGTATATAAGTGATGTCTCTTCCAACTTACACATGATTGTTGATTTGCTTAATTTTGAGCATGCACCTGCATTAATTATTTTCTTCTTGGAGATTTCTTAAGGCCAAGAAGGTATAACTGGTGCATAGATCTATATGGTTGTCTTACCAGCCCATTGCATTACTACATGGTTGCTTTGGTGCCAAATGGTCTAACCAAAACTTTTCTATCATCTTTCTATTTGTTTGCTTTCTTATTGTTGGTCGATTTTATCATGTTCTCATATCAAGAGGTTTGTTTGCTGATGTGATAATTTGATAACTTTTTAAGCGTTGTTTACTGTTTCCAACTTTCTCATTTTTGTTTCACTGCTATGTGATAATAGAATGGCAGATGATGGATAATCTTATCCTACACACTGAATCTAATGTGTTGACCAATACTCCGCTTATTATCTGATGCCATTAGTTAACGAGCTCTCTGTTCATTGCTTCTGAATTTTGTGGACTAAAAAGGAACAGATAGGTTTGGTTGTTTTGCATTTTTTTGCTTGTAACATTTAAATCATCAGGGTGTTGGGTGTTAAAAATACTTGCATACATTCCTATCTGTTTGCAACATGAATATCTTCATGGTATAATGGGTTGTAAAAGTATGGAGTGGGTAGCTGTGTCTGGGTTGCAACATGAATCTCTTGTTTATTATCAAATAGCATTTTGTTGTCCCATTAATGTATGTAACATCTGAATCTCACAATTTATTACATTTCTCAGGTTCTGCTGAGGGGACCTAAGAATGCTAGGGAAGCTGTGAAGCACTTTGGCCCTGCGCCTGGTGTGCCGCACAGCCACACAAAGCCTTATGTGCGCTCCAAGGGAAGGAAGTTTGAGAAGGCAAGAGGAAGGAGGAACAGCAGAGGCTTCAAGGTCTAGGTTGTCGCCATATCTATGTATTCTGACCTGGTTGACCATCTTGTTCGAGTCATAGAGTTGGTATATCTTACACCCCAGTTCCAGGACGTTTGAGAGCTCTTTGTTGTTTGTACACCAGTTGAGATCTGCTAAATTTTGCTCGATTGGTTTGCGCCCTACCTGAAGTTCCAAAGTGACAAAAGCACAATAGGGTGCATCTTCTCGGTCAGTACATTTCATTGGATCCATTAATGTCTGTTTGGAGAACGTCCCGAGGTGAAGTTGTGATGTAGTAGTATGCAACACTCATCTCAACGCTAACACGTCTCGACCAAAGCTTTAGGGACGTGTTTTGTTTTTTTCCTGTTGAAAAAAGGTTTGTAGGGAAAGAACGCCTTGCGTTCTCTATGTTCACAGTTTTCACTGAGTTCTGGAAACCAACTGCAATTGCATAACATGGTCCTATCTTGGTTTGTTTTGTCTAGCAACGCGCCATCGTTAAGACGATTCTTTGATATCATCTTTTTCACTTGGAAAAGGAATCAACATTGTAATAGCTGACTGTTATCCCATTGCAAAGACCTAGTGGATGACATAGCAGCAGCTACTCCTGGTGGCACCAAAAAAATCGAACGATATCACCGAAATTAAATTTGTTTTCATATTTATATTTGGATTTGATTCGAATACGGATAGGGTTAGCTTTATTGGATGTAAATATGGGATTTAAGTATTTGTATACGTATACGGTATCAAATGTTCAATATTCGAACTTAAATACAGACAGATTTGAACTCTTCTAAACGGATTTGATTTCGAATATGGTCGAAAAATATTCGGACCGTTTACACACCTGCCTACCAGCTAGGTTGCACACAGGCACAGGCTTACAAGCCCCGTGGGCCAACTTGTTCACACCACCCAGTCGTCATGGAACAACCAGTCACCTCCGACTCCGAGATACTTTGGGTTCAGCATCTTTTCACGCCTCCCTCGGCCCGTAGCCTCAGGCTTCCCTTGCCTCGGGCCGCTTCGCCCCTTTGTTCAGCTGATTCACCCACAGGGATCAAAAAGGCTAGAGCACTGGTGATGCTGACATCAATGATTGGTTGTTTTCCCGAATCAGTGAATTTAATGGTTGAACCAGAACCACCACATAAGAGTTTGCACTCCGCGGCTGATACCGCAGCTACACAAAGGCCCCGTTTTGCTCGGAGGAATTTAAAGAAATCTGAAGGAATTTGTAAGAGGAAAACACTGTTCTGGATGAAAAAAGAAGCGGATTAATCCGGATTTTTAAGGGCACGCGAACGGGGCCAAAAGAAAACCAAATTAGGCTCCTAACCTGTGCTTGCTGCAGATGCTTCTCTACAACTTTATGTTGCAGTCTGTACTTCATCAGAAATCTGCAGTAAATAAAACAGAGGGGGCTTAGTCAAGTGCCATGGTGAAGAGGTTCTCTTGTACCTGAGATTTAAATATTTATTGTACCAAAGCTTCTACCGGTCACAACTGTTCAGAACATTCCTTTCCAGTTCAAATATGTACCAACATTTGCCACGTGAAGTTTGAACATTTTTTACATCTTCATCACCTAAACAACGATGATTATCATTGTAAAATCATGTGTGGTTCCCTTAATTATAGAATGGCTGGTTAGTTAGTTTTTCATAAAATGTTTGTAAACAAACAACAAGGTGACCTAGTACCTCGTAGATGGTAATAGGTCACCTTTCATCCAATCTATTTTGAATTCTTGATGGACGGCCTACAGTTATTCGGGTGTATCATAGCAAGAGCCTATCAAGCATCACAAATTACATTGACGGAAACTTCATTTATGTTTGAGTGACTGCAGCAGCCGTGCACAAAATATTGAGATAGGCAGAGCACTTTTAACTTTGAACTTATGTTCCCGATCAGCTCCTCTGTCACACAAAAACTTACCTGTCCCTCTCTGTCATGCCAGCAGTACCATGGACCATATCAATGCATTATAACACAAAGCAGCAGTCACTCAAACATCAATACCTTTGAGGCGATGGAGAACGAGTGACGCCTCCTTAAGGCAAAAATAGCTTCCAGGTACTTTGGTTTCCGCTTCCAGTTGCGCCTCCCTGGGCCCATAGCCTCGAGGCTTCCTTTGCTTTCTCTTGAACCGGCCTGCTTCCTGCCTGCGAATTGGGGAAAAAAAACGTTAGGAGCATTGGTGACGCTGACATCAATTCATGAGTTAAAAGATTGAACCACCCAAGAAGATTTGCAGTCCCTATACTGCATGCAGCTACACAAAAGAAAACCGAATTAGTAGAGATTATCATGCTGTATACCTTGCTGTGGACAGCTTGCCAAAGCCGGAGGCTGGAGCAGTAAATCATGGTTTAGACTCTGTTCGCAAAAAGGGTTCCGGCTTCTCCAAACGAGCAGCTCCTCCGGCTCCACAGCTGGAGCTGCTGGTGGAGCCATAGCCAGAGTGCCACCAAACAGGTCCTCAATCGTGTCCGACTCACCAGACCCAGTCCTGGCGTCGCCCACAGACGCTGGCCCTCCATCCCGGTCAAACCCTCCTGCAGCTAAAAAAACATTGCTCGAGTTTACCTCAGGATGTTTTACGCAGTATTTAGAGTGACATCTAGCACCCTGCTCCAGCCTAATCAATGACTTACTTCTTTCCGGATGATGAGATCCTGTATCTGAACATGAAAATACATAAACAAAAAAAAGGGCAGACCCAGGCCGGAGGCTCCACATGAGTGGGGTCTGGGGAAGGGAAAAACCGAGGCAAGCCTTCCCCCCGCAAAATCTGCGGAGAGGCTGCTTCGAACCCGTGACCTGGTGACTCAGTGAGACAACTCTCACCACTGCACCAAGCCTGCCCTTCACATAAAAAAAGAAAACTAATAACAATTGGTCCCTTGTACATGTAGGCACTTGCATAATATGGCTGGGAAAAAAAGAGAGGTTTGGTATAACATGGGAACAAAGAAAAAAAAGAGACAATAGGTTCTGGTGCATTGTTGTTCATCATCTTGTAATAGCAGTACTGCTGCATAGCTAACACAATCTGGGATAACAACCACGCAAATGAATTATTAGTACAAGGTCTCTGTTCCAGTAGATGAGATTAGGGGTGTCAGTTAAGCTAAAATATGAGATTGACTGGAGCATACTGTTCTATTGGCCATCTATTTCATCAGGTAATGTTAGGACATTGATGAATGTTTTAGCAACTGCAGGTCAAGTGAAACATCAGAGGCCTACTATTTTTGTATGAAAATCAAAGTAGCAAGGCAGCTTGTCTATCCTAACAGACAAACATAACTCATCCACCATTTCACACGTATTTGCATTGCAAAACAGGACAGTTTTACATAGTTCAGGTCACAAACCAAGTCCCTGCACTTAGTGTGGTAAATTGGCAGGATTTTACAAGCCGCTGAAGATCTAGGGGTGGCAGGCTGCACCAAAAACTCACCACCTACTGCTACTGAACCACAGAACACAACCCTGGAATGTCACATGATAATAGCTATGAATATTATTAGCTGTTAATTGTAACTTCCTGTGTAACTTGTCCTCCAAAAAAAAAAACCCCATTGTGTGCTTTTTAGCAAGGGAAAATATTTAAGAATAGCTGTTCTTTTATAATGCATCAAAATTTGATGTTTTCCCAACCTCTTGCATGTGAGATGTTTGATAACATGTGATGCTTTCCCAGTGGGCCTGTTCTACATTTCTGTTGTGCTATCCAAATCTGCTCTTTGTCATTACTGTGCCTTGAAGTTTCTTCATATTTTGTTTTTCTGCATACAGTTTGTGCATGCACTGTTATCTTATAAACTGCACCCACATGTGAATATTTGCATCTGTTAAACAGTAGAATAGGAATTTCCGAATTTGAACAATCATTTTCTATCTATTTTTATAATTTTTTTGCTCCCTATAAGGATTTTGTTAATATTTTCCTTATCTCAGGGATAACTTTTACACCCCATACCTTTTTATGTACTAAAGAAAGAAAAAGGCATTAATCATTTTTCTTTGAGACATCTTTGAGTAGTACTCATAGAAGCAAGGAATGTATCTGATCCTGAATCTCTATTCTCTGATATATCTTTTGGCACCCTTCTTTATGAAGAACGTGGCAAGGAATTCTCAGGGAAGCCATCTCTAGATTGGTTCTGAGGTTTGTTATTCACTTTGTTCTTTTTGCTTCTTTTGTTGCTTGTGGAGTAGAGCACAAGAAGCAGATTACTTTTTTTCTTAAATAATTATTTTTTTCCATCATTTGGGAAATCAAGTACCTAACCTTGTGCTATTTCTGGTGCCAACTATTTTTGCAGCACCAAAAGTCGGTTGGAGAAAATTTTGAGAAGACATCTGCAGTTTCACATTTTTGCAGCACCAAAACTCGGTTGAAGACATTCTTCAGAAGAGGTACGGCAATGATTTTGATTCTCTGCAATTAACTTTCTCCCATATGTAGCTTCTTCTGCTACCAAACAAGCCTTAAGTTAACTTTGGCCACAATGGCGAAGCTAGAAATTTATATCATCGGGTTCATTGGGGTCTCTTTTGCAATATTATGTATTTTGAAGAGGTGATTTTCTATTCTTATGGTATAATTATTGAAGGATTAGCAAATTCCATTGGGGTCCACTGACCCCAATGAATACACGTTGCTCCGCCCCTGTTTGGCCATCACTATTCTGTTTGAAATTTCTGATACTGAAAATTGCAGCTTTGCCACCGATATTAAAATAAAAAAGGTAGTGGTTGACATACTAGTAAGTTAAAGTCAATGTGCACTCCCACTGTGTAGAGACCAGGTTTTGATGATTCTTATTTAGGTAATTGTAATGCACACATATGCTATGCATGTATTGTGCAGAGATTGATTGAATATTGGACCTGTGTAGAATATTCATTTGTTCCTTTTTAAACAAAGTTCTATTCTGTTCTGTTTTAAAGGCTCACTAATAGAATGCGAACAGGAAAGCAACATGTCGCTTCAATATAGC